GATGTGGGCAGCCTTGGGACTTAGTGGTCAGGCCTGTGACTTAAGGGGGACAGTGGTTGTGCTGGTGAGACTGAGGCAGAGCTCTCTTGCTTTGGTTTAAGCTCCAATTCTTTGCCAGTCCTTTGCAAGACTATCTCAGGAATGTCAGTTAAAAAGGCTGTGCTGCAAGGAGATGGCCTGGGAAGGGGTGTGGGGATGGACACAGGTGGCCTTGGAAGTGCAGGGACCTGCCCCAGCTTTCCTCCTTACTCAGGATACATGGTCTGCTTGTCTGCCAGTATCCTTGTTCCAAATGTGACCTGATGTTTGCAGGTCCAAAGAAGTGGTGGGAAAGCAAGAGATACAGAAACAAGTCGACTTGCAGGCATCTGCATCCTATCAGCGTTTGAAAGGCTTGAGTGAAATATGCTCAGCCTTAATGAGATGAAAAATGAATGTAGTTCGAGGTAAGTTCAAGAAAACGAGAAGGAATGCCTCCAAGAGAAGGGTACAGTCTTAGTCACATGGCCTGACCTCACGGAACCTCCCCTGCCCAGCTCTTCCAGTAAACACTTTCTTAAGGAAGGCTTTTTTAGCTGGGCTCATACTGCTCTCTGAAGTGTCATCTTCCTTGTTGAAGACCTTGGTATGGAAGGGAGAGCCCCAGACAGGACTAGGGCAGCCCCGAGGACACAGCCAGTCAGAGCCAGTGGGGAGCAGTCAACTCAGCACAGGAGGGAGCAGGACCACTAAACATCTCTGACAAGGTGTGAGAATCCTGGACCGTGATGGGACGAGATCAACTGGAGTCCTGTCCTGGGAGAGCTGGGGCACCTGAGCAAGGTGGGCAGAGGGTTGAGCTGCTGCCTTCAGTATTTCACTTAAGGAATGCCTCCCTCCACCCACCTCCATCCATGCCCTCTGGAGTCTTAGTGTTTGGGGTAGGCTCTATGCTGAGCCCTCCCTCTCATGTCGATTGGTGACTCCAAGACTGAACTGATGCCAAGCTGTGCCCTCACCAGGCCTCACATGGGAACATGTTCTGGAATTGCTGAGGGACATAAACTGAAAATCTGGACTTCTGGCCTACTATGACTGAGGCAATGAGGACCCGAGGCAGGTGGACACAGGTGGGGGCCCTCTAGGCAGGGCAGCTGCTAGGGGAAAAGGCTGCAGTAGAGGGGGCAGGATCTGTATGCCTTGAAAAGGACTTTCCTTTTGGGAGTTAAACTCGGAAAATGGGTGCCAGGTCTGCTCAGTTCTGGGGTGTAATTGGACATGTTTCCCCATGGAATGAGATGCTAGTGAACATGTTGTATAGAACCAAGACTTGTGACCTGGCTGAACATGGGGACAAGACTAAGATGTCCTATGTGACCCTGATCCCACTGGCAGCACATACTTGAGAATCGCACCCCGGACAAGTCCAGCACTCGCTCAGCCCCTTGTGGGGAGGATGTGTCCTATGTGGGGGTGCTTTAGGCCTGGTAGCCTTGCTCTGCCCCCTTGTGAAACATAGGCTGGAGTTCTCAAGCTCAGCATGGGATTCTCATTTCCTGTGGAATCCTGATGGCTGAGTGCAGCATGGGGGGCGCTGTAGACCTCAAGGCCTTCCTGGACCTGCCTGGAAAGGGATAACTGATAAGCTCAGTTATCTTTTGGTGTACTGCCTGGTGTCTTGGAGTGACAGCCCATGACTGACGTTGTGGCTTGATAACCAAGCAGGGTATCTTTTTATGGGTGGTGCTGACCAGCTGTCTGGGGCGGGGAGTGCTGGGGGCATGCCAATTGACGTGGGATTTTTCCTACTTTTTGCTTGCCTGCCTTTAAAGTGAGATGTCCTGGAGCCAAGCCCTGAGGTGGGGTGTGGGGCGGCTGCAGCATAAGGTGTCTGCTGCTGTGAACCAGGGGGATGTCCTAATCCAGAAATCTTGCCTTGGGCATGCAGATGCCTGGGTCCCCAAAAGTGACAGCTCGTAGTCCAGGGCTTGGATGTTCTCTTCCCACGAAGGATATGAAGTCGGCTCGTGATGCTAGGAAAGAGACCCCCTTCTAGGCAGATTCAGCTGAGACTTTTCCTAAGGCAGATAGGCTAGGTAGAAACACCAGGAGGCCACCTGGCCTAGCTCGGGAAAGGAACCTGGCAGGAGCCCAAGCCTGTCATCACAGGAAACACGACAGTCTCCATTATATCCTGAGCATATTGAGAACTGAGGAGACTTGGTACCTGTCAAGTTTCCAACAACCTCCAGCAGCCTTGAAGTCTGTCACTTCCAACGCTGCTTCCTGGTCTGGTCTTGTGGTCCTTAACTTGCATCAGAATTTTCAGGCTTCCGGGAGAGTTGCCTTTATCTCCAGCCAACTTCCTAGGCTGTGCAGACTAGGAAGCGTTCTCAAGGTGTGGTCCCTGGGTGTTGAGGGAAGGAGGGGCTCAAACAGGATGCACAGCAGGAATCCTGTCAAAGCAGGTTTTTCCTGGAACTTGCACCCCATCCCCTACTATGCAAGGATGCCATGTGAATGACCTCGTCTCCAGCTTTCCGGTTTTTCTCACCTGATGAATGTCAAAGTTGTACCTTGTTAAATGTAGTTGCTGCCTGACTGGGAGCTCAAGGCAGGGAAATAGAGTGTAGTGTTGATGCAGACACTTGTTTTTGTCTGTTTAGGATCTAAAAACATCCCACAACTACTTCTGGAGGTGTTGAGAGTTAGGGCTCAGTATCCTATGAAGTACAGCTGAATAACATACTGTTAGATCCCAGGATTCCAAATATACCAGGGTGACAGTTTGACCAGGGACACATGGGAGAGGCCATGTTCCTCTGGTCATCTTTCATGGTGGACAGAGTGCTCAATAGAGGGCCTTCAAGAGCTAAGGACTCTTCTACCTTGAGTGGGATGAGGCTATTAGCTCCTGGGTGACCACCTGTGTCTGGGATGTTCTGGATTCCATACCCCTGCTGATCCTTTTCTCAGTGTGCACTCCATCTCAAGATGCCAGGAAAAGATGGAAGTGATGAGGGAAGGGAGGGGTGGCTCATAGGTCTGGCCCTCAGAAGAGGGGGCAAATGACTCACTTCTGATACCCAAGCTCCAGACTTCTAATGACCTTGATCCTGAGGTGGTTATAAACTCATCAGCTGTGGCTGCCTTCTGGCTGAACTGATCTTAGGACAGGAATTTCATCTCTTCCAACAGGGTATCTATAGTACTTCAAAATGGTTTTATCACATAGTGGCTTTGCATTGACTTCATAATCCCACATAGATTTCTGAAGATAATTCATGCATACCAGCTCCAACTAGTCTTCACTGGGCTTGGCTCTAACTCCATGTCTCTCGCCTGACCTCTTACATCAGACTGGTGTTCAAGTCATGTCCGTGGAGATACCTAAGTCTCTACTGGCAACAGAATCAGTATATAGGTGAGGGTGGTGGTTATTCATGGGCTTTCCTCACTGTAGGGCCCCTGGAGGCCTGAGGCTGTCCACAGATGTCCTTGAGCTGGATATGGGGCTCTTTTACCCGAGGGTTGTCCCAGGATGTTGCCAAAGAGAATAGAGGAAGGCACCTTTTTGGAGCGTGGTCTTTGCACCGATTGGGGGTTACTTATAGTCTCAGTAGTTGAATACCCTGTCACCAGATAAGATTAACTTTGGCCTTGTTTGCTGTCCTCACTTGAGAGCCCACTGCAATGACTGAAAGGAAGTGATGTTTTCAACCCTTTCTTCCCTTGCCAATCTCAGTGGAGCCTGACTTTGAGGCATCCAGGGCAAGAGTCCCTATGCAGCCCTCGTAGGGTTGGAGAGGATTGCTTGTCTGCTGTTAGTCCCTGGCCTGGTGGACCCAACCAGGGCTGTCTCATCATCCTGTGTGCCTGCTTCCTGTCTTGGGGTTGTCCTTACACTCAGCAGTTGGGTGCTCTGTGGAATGTACTGGAGTCCTGCCAGACGAATTCCCAACAGACCACATCACACCTCGCCCTGAACACAAGGGGCATGTGCTTTGGGGGCTGGCATGCCAGGATTTTGAGGCGGTTCTTCCCTAAGCTTTCAGATGTTGGGGTGCTCTTCACGGGTGCTGTTGCCACTATCTTGGGAGGTAGAAGGGAAGAAAGATGCCTGAGCATAATGGAATGGGTCAAGTGCATGCAGGCCTAAGGTGTAGGGAGGGTGGTGGCTCTTGGAACTATTATGCTGACGTCTCCAGAAAGCCTTCTGGATGTCTTGACCCTCCTGGCATCTGAGCTCTTCTTGCCTGTGGTTGTGTGGCCTCAAAGTACACAGCAGCCCGTGGAGGGGGGGAGTGTAGGCTCCACAGCTCCTCTGACCTGGGCTATGTCCTGCCATACCACTCAGGTTTTGCTCTTAGATTTCTTTGCACTTATGTTCTAGGTGTAGATGTCTTGCTCATGCTACTTGGATTTGAGCTTCCTAATCTTGGAAAACTCCTGGTTAAGTATTACCTCAAATACTTAAGTGAGGCAGGAATGGTCAAAAGAGCAGGAGCTTGTGTTCCCATCCCCGGGTCGGTTGGGCCTGGGTAAAGTAGCCCACAATCCTTGTTAGAGTCCTGGGTATATTTCAGAAATTCTCAGTTGAGACTAGGTGTGGGGCTCCTGGAAATACAGCCCAAGTCATTACGGTCCCTGGAGTCTGAGCTCATTTTAGACTACATTGAGCCTATACTCAGTTATCAAATAGTCAAAGCTGTTCCTGCAGGTACTTCTCCCTGCTGGCTGTGACAATGGTCCTCTTATCTAGCTCTGTACTTGCTGGCCAGTAGCTTGCCCTGTTCATCCATCGTTGGTTCTCAATGGTTTACTTCTGGGTTGCTTCAGCTTTGTCAAGACGGGTGAATTCTAAGCTCTTCGAGCTCTTCGATTATCAGACAGTAACCTCTGTCTGGAAAATCTGCCGTTCACATCCAGGTGGGTTTCCTCTTCAGCCACGTCATCACCAAGTAGGTGAGCTGCTTTTTCCAAAATATTAAACTCAAATGAACCTGAACAAAACTTTTTTCTGAGGCAACTGTGGGACTTTATTAGCTAAACAGACACCAGCTCCAGCCGCAGGCTTGGACCGGCCAGCTGAGAGTGTGGCCTCAGACACGCCGGCCAGGTTCCCTGCTTCCTGGCCACGGTTGGAAGCGGTGTTCAGGCTGCCCCACCTTGGTCTAGTCCCAGCAGGTGCCCCCACATCTGGCTCTGCTGTGGGAGTGAGAACAAAGACCCTGCCCGCCCCACTCCTGCTGCCCCGGGGGCTCAGCCGGCACCCACCCTCCCAGGGGCCTGGGCAGGGGCTGCATTGCAAAGCCTCCCCCTCCTCCTCTGAGCCAGATGGAAAATGCGTCTCCCAAGAGCGTCCTGGGGAGCAGGACGGAGGCCTGCCCCTCCCTAGCCAGTGTCCACAAGAGGGGGTTGTCCTGGGGGGCAGAACGACCAACCCCCAGCACAAGACATCCTGGTGTACAGAGGCCCTGGGAACAGCCCAGGCCCCACCCAGGAGCATATCCTAAATGTGCAGGGGCCAGCAAGGCAGGGGAAGGAGGGGGTCCGCTGCCAGGTCCATGAGGTGTGGATATCGCCTTGGACTTAGGAGAAGGGGGCACTCGAACCTGCGTCCAGGCCCCTCCCCCTTCAGCAGGAATATCTTCTGTTGGTGCTCCTGGATGGCCTCCCGCACGCAGGCGTCCATCATGGCCTCGGAGGCGACCCCGTTCTCGGAGGCATTCGCCCTGGCCTGCCAGGACAGAGCCAGCTTAGCGATCTCCTGGCCGGACATGCCCTCTGTCAGCCGAGCGATCTCTGGGCACTTCCTCCAGTAGTCAAACTGGGCCAGCTTCAGACGCTGCTTTTCCTTCTGTGGCCAGCTTAAGAACATACTTGTAAAAATACATTCTCAGCAGGCGCTCGCTCTTGCTGCCCCGGCAGGTCGAAATGAACCACCCTATCGATACGGTTGCGGATGTCCTCGTAAAACTGCTTGGGGTGGTGGCTGGCCAGGACCAGCATGAATCTGTTGCTGCTCTGTTGTGTGTACTCTAGAAAGGCGTTCTCTGCGGCTTTGAGGTGGTAATTGCTCATCTTCTCAGTGGCTGGCTTCCAAAGGACGGCGTCCGCTTCATCCACGAAGAGCAGGAGGCCGCGCTGGCTGGTATTGGCCCAGTCAAACAGCCTTGTGCATGGCAGTCACGCCTTCCCGCCCCATGAGGGCCACGTCCTTGCCTGTCATGATGGCGTAGTCCATGCCCGAGTTCAGGGCAAGATTCTTTGCAAACAGCTTCTTTCCTGTGCCTGATGGCCCGTACATCAAGACGTTCTCGTACAGGCTGCCGTCCTTCTTCGTTGTTCATTGTTGCTATGACAATGCCGCGCACCCGCGCTTACAGGCTGGGACTCAGCACACCACCTTCCAGTACGTCCTAGGGCCGACTGAGGAGCTGCCGGCGGACCTGGAAGGGGTGCCACTGGGCCTCCAGCACTGTGATGCGGGACTTCTCGTTCACCAGGGACGGTTTCCATAGCCGAGTCGCAATGAAGTGGGCCCCGGCGGCTGTTCCATTCTTGGCAGAGTAGACCCCGCCAGCCAGCAGCGTCAGCCCAACCACCGTGGCTGTCACTGTGTCCCAGTCTGTTTACAAAGGCACAGAATCTTTCCCCAAACATGTTGAGAACCGTCCTAATGGACGCCAAGAAGGTCTGATGGTGCTTCTGCACGGACTCCTGCTTCTGTAAGTTCTCCTCATAGACAAGTTTGAGCTTGGACTGTTGCTCCGGCTGCAAAGTCTGCTCCTTCATCTGTGCCAGATTCATGGCGTCCTTTGAGATGGCCTGCGGGTGCAGAGGCATGGAGGGCAGGTTATTAGGATACGGTGATGACTGGGTGAACAAAACATTTCTAGTTCAACCATGTTGAAGTTTACAATTGGTGACATTAATCGCATTTACAATGTTGTGCACCTATCACTGACTTGAACCAGTTCACCCCACCAAGAAACGGCAACCACTAAGTAGTAATGTTTTCCTTCTCCCTTCACCCCCAGTCACCTCCAATCTACTTGCTCTCTATAAATTTGCCTGTTCTGGATATTTCATAAGATAATTGTCTGGTTCATATCAATTTCTATCCACATCGTTGCATATCAGCTTTTGATTTAACGATCCATTGCATGGAGATGTCGGTTTTTCTTGGTATCGACATTGGATTGGTTTCCGTGTTCTGGCTGTCATGAATAGTGTTGCAGTGAACATTGGGCATGAAGGTGTTTGCTTCAATCCTTTTGCAATTATCTTGGGTAAATAAGAGTGGAACTGCTGGATCATATGGTAATTCTTAGGTTTTTGAGGAACTGCTTCTGGAGGTGGTTCTAGCTGGAAGACTTATTCCTGAGGCCCCTGAATAAAATCCCCCTATCACATCTACAGTCCACGTGGCAGTTACATGATTGAAATTAGAAGTGTATCTGCTTCACAAGCCTCTACCCACATTGTTTAGGGCTGTTCTGACTTCAGGGAAAACTAATTGGTAACAAAGAAAACCTGAAAGGGGATCCATCAGTCCTCACATTTGGTGCCTCAAGGATCAGACTTCAGAAATCGGTCCCCAACTTGGACATTGAATTCTCAAAGATGTCTTTACTTGGTGACTTCAGGTTTTGAAGCAGGTGATTATCCACGGGCAAACAGAACAGGCTGAGTCTACTCAGTGTCTCATTACTTACGACCCTTTTTCTGTTCTGCACTGAACAGGTGGTACCTGGCTTTGCTGGACTTGGCATTTCTGGGCAAGGTGCAGTTTCCTTAGGCAGCTGTTCCTAAGCCTGGAGTAGTTCTCTGATGCTTGTCCTTGCGATTCTTGGATCTTTCCCGGCCTTGTCGATCCTGGGGGTGGGGAGTCTGTTTTCATCCCGCTCCTCAGAAGGCTTTTGAGTGCTCCTAAGTGGTGGGTAGTGACCAGTGGTGTTACAGGCTTATCTTATAGAAAGGGCATGTCTCTAAAATCCCTGTGGATGGAGGCCTCTTGACACCCTAACTTCCCTAGACTGACACTGCGTGGGGGTCCCAGGAGCATCTTGGGTAGTCACCTGCAGCCTGACAGGCAGCTGCTATTAGAGGCAGGATGTTCTAAACATGGGAGCCTCCTAGAAGCAGGCCCCCAACTCCGGGGGGTCACCCTGGGTAAGCAGCTCCGTGTGCTTATCTGAAGGCACACAGTTGGGCCCACAAGGATTGGCCATGTGGAAGAAGGAAGGTTCCTATGGCCTGCTGACTTACCCCTTGACCCCTAGGAGTGACCATGGGATGCCCTTATCACTCCTGGGCATGGTAACCCTCCTGTTATAGACAAGAGTATCTCCAAAGAGTTGGCATCTAACGCTCTTCCTGGGAGGCTGAAGGCTGGCAGATTGCTTCTGAATGGGAATCTGCTCCTGTAGAACTCAAGACTCTTGGATTGCAGGGAAGAGGCTCCTGCCAGTCCTTGTGCTATGATGTCCCAGGGAAGAGACTGTCGGCAGGGAATGGTGAAGAGGATTCAGCCTTTCTCCCTTACAGAGGGAGAGGGGGCAGTTGGGGCCCACAAATAGTAACTTTCCTCCAGCACCCCTGCTCATCTCCAGCCTGATCTCCAGAATTGTGCAGTCAAGGGCCGGATGTGCTGGGGGCTGGGCTCTGTGGTTCTGCTTGTTAGGGATGTTTGGCTGGACAGGGCTGTGAAAGCAACTTGGAAACAGGGTGTTTTCTTCATCAGTTATCTCATCTGATACATCAGTCCTGCTTTTCTGAACTTCCAATAGCGTGAACTGTGACTGAAGAAAACTTCTGAAGCGTGAACTCTTCCATTAAGCATGGCTTTCTTATTAGACTCCGAAATTGCTCATCTAAGCCCAGTGGCAGTGGGTTTGACAACCGTCCCCTGAACTTGCTGCTTATTCTGTTCATCTGTTTGACTGTATCTTCGTGCCATAAAGATGAAGCCATTCTTTTGGACATTGAGCTGTCATAATTCTGAAAGTGGTATAGGCTTTCAAATGGGCCCATCTCTACTTGCTAATACACTTTGGAGGGGAAAGCATGGATACTTATGTGCCTCCACATATCCACTTTAATTTGTAACGTAAGGAAGGGAATGAGTTACAGAAAAGTTTCATGATGAATTCTAAAGGTTCTCTTAGAAACACTTAGACATTATGCAGTGAGCTGCTTAAAAGCAAGCCTTCTTAATGTGGTCTACATACCACATAGCCTACTCAAGTTTGGAAATTTTTAGCTTGAGGCTCCAGGAAGACTGACCCAGCAGTAGATGTGCCTGGATATGAATATCGATGGGGGGAGACCAGGAGACACAAACTTGGAGAGATGGACCAGGTTCAAACTTGCTCAGTGTCGTTACTGGTAGTTAGCACTTGTGCTTCTCTTGAAAATGATTCAGGAGTCTGATTATACTTGGAGGCGAATGAGCCACCCGGCTTCCCAGGAAATGTGGACAGAAGTCCTGGTTGCCTGGAGATGGGCTCTGGGACACCAGGATAAAGGGATCTGATGGGAATGCTGGACCATGGACCTGCTGGGGGGGTGGGGGAGCTGTCCCAGGAAGTGACCCTGGTAGAGTTCTTCAGTATACTTCAATGCCTGTCTTTCACAACTGACTTTTGTTATTCCTTCCCACACTAGCTAGCATAACCATACATAACTCTTGTTCCTTGAACCACCATTTACTAAGAGGTTATTACATCGGAAAACGGGCAATTCTGTGCATAGTGAACCTAGAACTACCCAGGGAGGCGATAACCCTCTCCTGCTGACCTGACGGTAAAGGGGAGGGTCTTCCCAGGCTGAGCCCCTGGCGAGCTGTCTTGGAGGCTCTGCCCTCTGTGAGCCAGGTCTGTCACTGCCCCATCTGAGCCACAGCCTACTGCCTATGCTGACTGTGTGGCCCTGCCCATCCCTTACTCTAAATTCAAGCGTGGCTCACTTTCTTCTAACAGGTTGTCTGTGCCCCCTTTCCCAGGAGAAGGGTTGACTTGTAAAGATATTCACATCTTGTCATGGGCACAGGACCTCTCTGGGGTGTGGGGATTATCGAACTGTGAAGCTCCCAAGCAGATTTCCTTGTCTGTGCTGCCTGGTGGCCCACCAGGTGGCGCCAAAGGACTCCCCTTAGCCAGGGTCTAGGATGGAAAGGAAGCCACTGGCTCTCTGGATTCGAGGATAGATTGAGGATGGCACTGAGGAGTCCCTTACTGTCCTTTAGAAGGGCCTGTATCCTGAGATGCAGGCAGTGACTCCCACCTGGGAGTGACATCACTGAGTAGGAGAGCCCGGCACTTTGGCTCACGTGAGCCAGAGCTCCACACTCAGGTGTCTGTGCTTCCTGGGTTGGGGGCTTTGCTGAGTAGAGAAATGTATTTCCTTGGTCTTGTTGCATGCACATCTCGATGTTAAGTGACCTCTGGCGCAGGTTTCTTTTACGTTTTTATTCAACATGTTAAACATAGGAGCCACAGTTGTAAAATCTTACTTGGCAAAGGCAGAAGTAAACATGCAGTAAAGGGGGTGACTCCAAGTGATTATATTTGAGTTTTCAGTGTGGCGATCCATAAGGCAGTTGCCACACTTGAACTTGGTTCTGAATCTTTTAGTGTCTATAGGGCTAGATCACAAAATTCCGACTTCAAGACTAATGAACTTCAAGACTAATGACTATGTGCACACCACTGGCTTCTAGTAGTGATCTGAACCAAGTCTAAAGAGTTTACTGACACCTCTGATATAAAAGACTAAGCATGCTGTGCAGTGGCCCACACTTAAGTTTCACTTCCCAGGCTGTTGAGGGATCTGGGTCTTTCTATCCAGAGTTCCCTTACTTGTTGGTCTAAATTTCTGAAGACTTGAGTTCAATTTGCCAGGCAACTGGTTTTGCTTGGAAAGACTATCTTTACATCACATCCAAGCATGAGAGGTTGACCTTGGAAATCCAAGATTCCATGGGTGAGACCTCGGAAGCCTGAGGGGCAAGGAGTTGGGAATCCTTGCCAAGAATTTGGCAAACAGCTGTAGGCTGATATCTCACTGACTGCCTGAGGGCGCCATGAACACATCCTCAGGTGAGGACCAGTGAGCAGTTGACCAAGTCAAGGGAAATGCAATGACAAAGGATCCAGATAGTCTCTGCAGAATGTCTGGAAATGCCTCCAGCTACTTGCCATTCTATCTAAATATACTAGTTTTCTCCCCCTTAACTGAAAATCCAAAGTGTTAGTGACCACTTGCATGATGGTGGCTGTACTAGTCAGGGTTTCCTAGAGGAACAGAATAGGATGGATACGCATAAAGGGGAGTTTATTAACTTACACAATCACAAGATCCCCAAATAAGCTGTCTGCAAGCTTGAGCAAAGAAGCCAGTCCTAGTCTCAACTGAACTTTTGGAGTCTGATGTTTGAGGTTAGGAAGCACGTCCAGCATGGGACAAAGATACAGGCTGGGAGGCTAGGCCAGTCTCACCGTTTCATTTTTCTGCCTGCTCTATATTTGCTGGCAGCTGATTAGATTGTGTCCAACAGATTAAGAGTTGGGTCTGGTTCTTGCAGCCCACTGACTCAAATTTTAATCTCTTTTGGCAACACCCTCAGACATACTCAGGAACAATAGTTTGCATCCTTCAAGTTGACACTTCAGTATTAACCATCACAATGGTTAATGCTGTGGCAAAGTGACAATATCTATACATAACAAAAATTATGCCACCCATTAGCAAATTCTGCAGGGCAATTCCTCTGGAGACAGTGCTGCCTCTTTTTGCAGAAGGTTGTGAAGCTTTGAGAGAACCTTGAACAAATTCCCAACATA